CTTTGAATATTCCGCATACCTTCTAAGAAGCTTTGTTCCAGAAAATCCTATTGAGAGATTCTCAAAACTTTGTATTGGATTCAAGTTTCTCACCATACTTATATCTTCTTTGCTCTTCTACTTAAACTGTATCCGTAAGTTATTTAGAATCGATAAATACTGATCAATAGTGTATGAGGTCACGTGATCGCTCACCCACGCCGCGTTGTTTTGGATTTTGCTTGTGTATGAAGTTTAAAATAATGTACCAATTTTCGCATTATTAGTAATATACATCTGTGAACTACCAGAAAACGGAATTATACGCACAGTCAAAAGGTTAGTTAGTGAAACGGATTTGGCCGGTTCCTGGTTTTATTGATTGAAATGATTCAGGGTACGTTTAGACGGTGAATATACGATGAATCTGACATAAGGTCAAGCAAATTAAAAATATCCGGCTTGTGCTAGGCGAAGTCTGTTAGCAAAACTTGACATATGGTTGGTGAATGAATCTCGATGCCCGGAGTTTTGGAAAAAAACTGATTTTATAATTAAACACAACTTTGAGTTTCCTGCGTAGATGGAAGTTTGACTGATTAAAGGTTTTCGTTCGTTAGATCATTGGTCTTCTAAAAAGTGAAGAGAGTTCTTCCATATACCTGCAGCTCGCTGAGGGGTTCATCACTCTGTGATTCAGGAGAAAGCGTTTTCGTTTTTGTTCTATCAGATGAAATTTTATTATTGGTACAGAAACAATTCTGCAAATTTTATGTTCAAAATAATAGCTCATCTGGGGAATTCTGTTCAAAACCTGGACACAATAACTTGTTCTTAAGAACTGAAGCAATCTTGACAGAATTCGCACATTTTACTGCTGTCCACATAAATGAGACAACGGATGGTGAAATTTTGGGTACCAGTTATTCAGTGTAAAAGACCAGTCCAGCATCCAAACAACCAACGTGATTTGTTGTCAGCAAGTAAATCATTCACACACTTTACCCTTAACTATTCATGCACTGCACTATGGGTATCCTGACTTCGGGTTTTTCACGTTATGATTTCTTTGGCGAATAGGAAAGCAAGAATGCATTCTAAATCCTCTGTAACAATGGGCATGAATGACGCACGCATAACCGTTCCTGGCTGCAAATACTGCTATTTGCAGCTGCCTTCCTGCAACATGATAAACTATTATAACCGAAACGCCAAGTGTCGAATGAGCCACGCCACTTCAGACGGTTTCCAAACCAGGTCGATGCACAGACCAAATTCGGCCACAGCTCTGGTAACAGTGTGGAGCTCTTCCAAATGCTTCGGGTCATAAATGTGAGGTAGTCCAAGGATGGCAGTGTCAAGTGCTCCATGTATGAACTCTTAAAAAGATGCATTCAGACAAAAACCCACTGAATGGCAGTTGTATATTATACATTCTCATTCTTGCATAATGGCCCATGTTAATTTCCATGGCCTCTATCATTTTCATTCTTATAGTTATTTGCCGAGTGCCCTAAGCATTCGGCCAATGGGAACACGTTATTCGCCAAAGTTCTGGCCAGCATATCAGCGCGCCACACTCAGGAAACGGATAACCTGAAATTCCACACCAATTTACATGAGGAGTAATATTACCATAGAACTGGTGTGAAGATTTCACTATTAACTCGTAGGTGACTGTTAAAAAACCATCAAGGACCCGCTAAAAAAGAGTGACGGGCTATCCTAGTTACGCGTATCACATTAGCAATATATTGCACATTAACAGTGACATAAAAATCCTGAAGTTGCGTATTTTGCGCGTTCCGTCAGTTTCTCTGGTTCAAAATAAAAGTATGCTATTTATCAGCCTACTGTTCGATGACATGAGTAGGAAGAGTTGATACCCTTCGCGTAAGAAGGCAACTTAGCAGGATGGAGTACCTACATGCATATTATCTGCCAGAAGGATCAACAGACAACGTTATTCATTGACGTCTGAATGAGTATGATCTAGGATTTCGTTCGGAACTCAGAAGCGCTGTTTACCTTCGTACCCTATGTGACGTGTGTCCTGGAATCCTGCCACTATTCTTTCGCGGTGAGCGTGGTACAACAGCATACGATCCCTTTTGAACTCGAAAGTGGGTTCAGTGTGTGCTTTATTAAATCGTATACAGATATAGCTATTGGCCACAGCAGGGTATGGCAGGCATGTTCTCCGGTCTACCAGAGAACGAACAAACGAGAGCTTGGTGTTACGTGAAAACGATTTGTCGTTGAGCCAGAAACCAAATAGACATCAAATTCGATTACAGCATACAGGAAATGGTGCATATCAGGTGTGCAGGCATGCCTTTAAAGAGAATTACTGCACCGTCTGGCGTTTTAGGGGCAACATCAATGTGATAGGTCACCAGCACATGAAAGTACGGATATCGATGCACGAAAATATCAGGATAAACGCTGCGTTAACGGTAAGGTAGATTTCATTAGAAGAAAGGTGTGGGAAGGTCAGTAGGAGGCTGTATGTCTAAGGAAGGTTCCAGTTACATCCACTATTCACCGATTCCGCTCGGCTGCCATACAAGCCTCATTCGTATGTATTCGAACTCAGTTTGTGTCAATGTTCATCTGACACCTGAATACATAAATCAAACTGATGCCTTTGTTTGTCATTTCTGTGTACCACTTCGAGATGGTCAACACAAGTATGCTTTGGACCTGATTTTCATTCAGGTCTGCGACATGATTTTTTCAAAAGGCAGTTAGATAGTGATTTGAATCCTCATACGAGCATGTGACTCAGTCCCATGTGCATGCTTACTGCTAACGGTCCGTGTTCATATTTGTGCAGATAATGCATCGATGATTGTAGTTTTGGTCGTCTCTAGATTGTTTAGAAGATTCCTTCCGCAGTGAAATTACCTTTGTTTCCCTGATGCTCAGTTGCAAGTAAAGACTTCTACAACTACCGTGACTCTGACGTATCCTAGAAAATACAACAATGAGCGCTCTGTAAAAGTGCACGAGGATATGCTCCAGTTATCCCTTACTCCGAAATTATTTCATCAAATGAGTAAAACTTTAATGTCAAGGATGATAGTTGAACTTGTGTGTTGGTTGACCCTCCCATTCTGTAACCACCAATTTAAAAATAACACTTTTGGCTGAACTCTGCAGATTTGAACGATAAAATAGCGCGGGAAGACGTCGTCTCTGATTCTAACAGCGGCTGACTTTTTGAACACGTTCCACTCACAAAGAAGATGGCTACCGCAATACATGATTGGCCTGTTGGTCTGTTTTCGGTTGTTATATCTGGTATCGAAATGTACGATAACTGTGTAAAATGGCAGCTGTGCGAGCTAAACATTAATAAAAAGGGTCCGCGCACTGATATCAGGTCGTAACTTCGGCTGCTGGGCTATCCCAAAGTCAGCTTCGGGCACTTTGCAACTACTTTCAAAAACTAATTCCCAGACATATCCGATGTCTACGCAGAAAATATGAGTGTAAGTGCTCTAGAATAGACGATATCAGAGTTCCAGAATCATCTGCATTAGACGCCTGAGGCGTCTATAGTGAAGGGTCATAATGAATAAGGATAACGAAGCATACGTTTAACTTTACATTCAAGTATTTACCTATCACAGTAGTGTTTCCAGAGCGACCACTCGCCCACAGTTGATTTTCGCAGAAACTCAGTATATCCTCTCGGCTATAGAAATTTCAGACTTGGCAAGTGTCTCAAGACACGGTAAGATAAAACTGACAATCGGTCATCAATCTGCACCACAGACAGACAGAAAGTATAAACCAAAAAAGTATGATTTAACATCTAGCTTTAAATTTATAGCTCATTTATAATTCAATGTTTAAAGTTCCGGCGTGTCCATCGTCAATCGATAACCAGATAAATCCTCACAAATCGAAAAAATGTGCTTGTACGGGTGAAAAACAAAATAGATGGCAGAGTTCAATACCAATCACCACATCAATGCAACAGATTTCTATGCTGACTGGAAGTAGGAGAAATATAGCTAAAATTGTGCGTGACATACAAGTATCTCGTAGGCTGGCGTTCACTGATGACTATAGGTTTGAAAACGTTACTCAATAGAAGTCCCTATATTTTGGTTGGTACTTGAAATTGAGCCTGAGAAATATTCCCACAGCCTAAATTCAAGAAAAACCATCCGTCCTGCCAAAGGCTCACCTAACCAAGAGAGGTAACTTTTGTTGTCCGCTGGAGAGTGTTAGCTCAAAAGAAGAGCTTCAAAGCTGGAAATTGATGAAACCTACTTGTACGATTCAATCCAAAACAGTGTAGACTACCCCCTGATTGTAGTTTTGGAAATTTTGTGTAAATGCTGTATAACCTTGTTCATCTAAGCATGAAAAACCGAGGATTCTCACTCCTACCTTTATGTGAATCAAGGCTGACATCATTAGAATTGGTACACGTTGTTTCACGTGATGCCATTCTGAAGAGGGCAGACAGAACTGTAATGATCACTGCCTCTTTCGGTTACCATGCTGCTGAACGATCCTCACCTACACAGTTAAACTTATATAAATCGGTAACACTTGAACGGTCGACTAATTAACCGGTGAACTATGGAAACGCGAATATTTATAGGAGGACCACCCGCTCACCTTTGTTTTCGCTCCCAGTGTACACATGCCTATAGTCCATGTAGGAGTGGTTTTTTTCATTTTGTTGGGTTCGGCTTTCAACTGGCTATCGTAAAGATTGCGAGTGCTTTTATTTCAGCATATTTCAACGTGCTAATAAAAATCCAGCATGATAAATGAAAGCCAAAATCACATAATCGTTTAGAGACTTTTGTCCATGTACTGTCAATTTGGACGCCAATTTATCCCCTTTTCTCTTCAATTTCTAGAGGATCTAGTAGCCTGAATAACAGGGGGCTGTATTGCATGTCAGAAATTATCTTCTGATATGCAACAGGACCACAGGCATCATGAAAATGTGCATACAACTTGAGATTCAAACTGGCGCAGAAAACGGCACTTACATCTACCATTGTTGGAGAAGGCAGTCTCGCTGGTGGAGATATTTTGTTCTTGTTTAGGGGCTTCAGACCACATTCCTGCCGAATTTTACTGAAATCGCAATAAAAGTAGTATACAAAAACAAGCGACTATAGTAACAGGACGGTCATGCAAAAGAATTTCGCCTACTGTGGTTGACTGGAACAAGTGATAAGTGGTAAATTCGTGTCCAAAATAATTTTTGGGCAAACGATCCTTTGCGAAGTTTGGCAAAAAACACTTCATGGCCTAAGCACTTATTACGAGTAAAAAATGTCTGTCATAATGACTCTCTGGCAGTCGGTTAGTCACAGCTCAAGCCAACGAACCCACCCTTAGAACCTTCAGAACAAGCTGGCTGGACAATAAGTCACACAGATCACTTCTTGGACGTGAAAACGTGGAAGAATGCACAACACTGCCAACACAACGCTACCCAACTACGAAAGAATGACGTCGCCTAAATCTGTGACGAAACTTTTAAAACAATATTTCCAACGTTCAGCCAACAACACAGCAACCAATGCAGCGCGTCATCACGTTTAGTTTCTGTTTAATTCTACAAGAGGTTGACTTCCCATCTGTTGCTAGCAGGAAACCAACCATTTGCTGGTGCTTCTAGAAGGAGAGAGGTTGTGGAGGAATAAGAGATTATATAGCGATTATATAGCTGACTTGATCTGGCTAAGGGGCATCTCTCATAACTGGACCGAAGAACACACCAAGTTGGCAGATTCCAACGGCATCGCTGACCGTCTACTCAGGCCCGTGCCTGCTCTATTGCGGGTAATAGTCAACAGCGCAGAACGTTGTGGTTGGAAACTAAGTTAATATGTGCTTTGGGCCTAAATGGGAGAAAAGGTGCAGTTCCTTATGACTAAAAACAGAAAACTCCGAAAGCTTTTACAACGGGAAAGTCTGTTCTTCTTTCGGAAATCTTTCAAGCAGTGCAACAGGAACATTACATACCGGAACCATTTGGTTTTTTCTGGCATTTTCCCCATGTATAAAACGTAAACATTCACCCGGAGAAACCTCAAGGTCGTGTGTATACATCCATTTCCTAACTTTCCTCCAGCAATATGGATTTGTGGCTGAGCCGATCAGGCTGATGACCCCAAAAGTCCGTTGTTTATCTTTTGTCTAATATTAAGCAGCGATTTTTCAGGAGCCAAAACAGAAAGTTGAACTACGTCACTTAATTTCTCCGAACTATAATGTAAACACAAACTGGAAAGAATTACTTGGTCTCTTGAACGGTCACATAACAGGAATCCAGTTGTTCGCTTTGTTGAACAGGAGAAGATGTTACGAAATCAGCGCGTCCAGTTGGTAGACTTTTAACTCCAGTTCTTTTCAGCGAAGAAGATTTTGTCTGAAAATGTCATAAAGGAACAAAGCCAACAGAGAATAGTTAGAAAGCTCAATTACTTGATAGCGAAATGTCAGGACAGATCAATCAGTGTCTGGTCCTGAATAAACTTTGGCGCACTTACTACAGGGATACCTGAGAATGAATCCCGACGAGAAATAAGCCTTCTCCCGGAAAATCTACAATCGGGGGCTGTATCTGCAACTGTGGAGCTCCACTCATGAAAAGAAAGCATAAGTTTTCTTAATGGGTCGTCTGTCCTCAATATTGCGAAAACCCACACCACCGTGTATACCCTAATTAAACTCCATATTGTAAACGAATTTCCAGTGTCTCATTGCAACTGCAGCCCAAGATATTACCTTCTTTGTTGTTAGGTAATTAATCTAACTGCGATTAATCGCTTTTGGAGTGTACATTTTGTACACAAATCCTTCTCGTTTAATCATTTTTAAAATTTTGCAGCTAGTAGGATACAAATTACAATCCATGAGTTCGGTCAAGAATGATCAGTAATGCTATTACTCAAAAGCCAAGGCTTGACATAAAGTAACGTCTATAAACACTCGCTGCTCACCACCAATATGAATAACATTCAGCACCAAGACATACACAAATTTCAGTTAGATACTTCAGTAACCTTCGTGGGAGTAAGGTGTGAAGTGATTTGGACTAAATATTTTGACTGAATAAATTACTGTGTCGTTGTGAGTATCCTAGAAACGTTGCGAATTTCATTGTGCACGTTGGGCGTGGCTTGAGAATCGGGGTCCGTGGGTAACAGCTGTTACTAAGGTTGTCTTCCGCAGTGGACTGTGACTACCACACTGTGGATCATCTACTCATCAGTTCATTGTAATTTATGATATCCCATCATTCAGGTTAGACCTTCACCTACACATTTCCCAGTCGCTTATCTCTGTCCTAGGGTCATTAGATGTCTCAGAAGCCGGTTTTATTGTGTATCGAAGCTATTATTGGGGCACCCTAATAGCGATTTCATCTTTTATCGATGTGCGCTGAAGGTGGAAAATTCCCAGATGTGTTCGGCACCGCAAAATCTTTTCGGAGCCTGGATTCCTCGCTCAGTTTACGGGATAATTAGTGAATGCGCGCCATATATTTTCACATGCATACACTCATGTCCCGTGCGAGGTTCGACGCATGAAATACCAACTGGTCAGTTCGACGTTCATTAATGTGTGCCACCGGTGGACCGAAAGTAACAGCTCATTGCAACTGGCGCTGGAACGTGACTGAAAAACCGATATGTGGCAGATATCCGAGAACCATTTTTCCACCAGGCATCATCGCGATGATGGTAAGCGCAAAATCCGTGTGATTTGAGTAGGGCAGTCAAATTCTGCGTCATGCTATGGTGCATATCTCAGCACCGCCGACAATCATACAGTGCACTCATACAGTTCATGGGGAACAGTAATCAAAGATTGCTTGATCCGATTGTGCTGAGGTTTCCATTTTTTATTATTCTGAAGTTTTGGCGGTAACCAAGTTGATAGCTGCTTCGTCCTTCGTCGAAACGCTGCAAGATAAACTCACAAAAGCGCACCCGTACGTACTGAGGAGACAATATAGATGCTTTAATGACGCATACGGCAGACGAGCCTTTTCTAATTGATTTTCAGCCCCCCAAACTGCCGAAACCACTGGATAAACCAAATACTGAGACAAGTGGATAGCACTGATGAACACAGTTAATGATGAGTCGGGCACACCTATCACATCGCTCAAGTGTGAATACGTTCATCTGTTCAGAAATGAAAATTCAGATGCGCCCAACGTGCGTTGGTGTTTATACGCTCGTCTCGCATGTCAGATGTCCGGGGTTCATATCCCGGCACGGCCATTGGATATGTATTGCTGATTAGCGAAACTCAAGTCCAGTGATTCACCGGAATGATTACGCCAGAACACAGGGGGGCGACTGTTCAAACAAGAGTGGTGTGACTATGAACATAAATTTACTTCGTTATCGTATTGCTTCCGACAAAGTCTGTTTCTCTGTGACAACCTTGTGAGTCTCATGTATAGTACACACCAATGGTGCTGTGATCGCCAATTGTCACCAGAGTATCCAAATGAGCAACACAAAGGATCACACGCTTATTACTCTTCTTTGAGTGGAAATCCACGCCGGAAATCACTCTTCATTTAAACCCAGCAAAGAGCAGCTTAATAGCCTCCGAATCAGTTAAGTGTAATCTTCGGCCAAAACAAAAGTGGCAATATCAGACCGAATGGCTTAACAAGCTGAACACAATTTGCCCCATTGATAAAGTATTTGGATAGTATCTGATAATTTGATGTTTCCCCTTCCGATCTGATGGACCAGTTGCTGCTAAGCAAGCCCCGCGTTGGCCTTCAGTCGGTATAGGCATTGTCATGCGCGTTTTTTAAGGTTGCTTAAGTAAAGTCATTTTTATTATGCAAGGAAGCAGTTCTCTACGTAATTGACATATGGCCATCGAGTAAGATCCCTCTGAACAGTTTGCCAGCATAGAGTTCTGTTCTTTTTACCTGAAAGTGAATTCATTTCTAACGCCAGATATTCACCCCGAGTACAGCACGAGTTTCCCAACTAAGATGTGGAGTAGGCGTGCATCTCTCTTTGTTGTTTTCAGTCCGATCACTTGATGAAAATGAAAGCTGACAACCGCTGTACCACTGGCAAATTTTTGTCACGTTATCTTTCCGAAAAAGCACGGAAAGCTGTCATTTCCATAGTTGAAGAGAACATGTGAGTAAAGTGAACTCTGTGAATGAAGGGTAGGTGGCGCTGCATGTGCATAATTTTGAACTGATTGATTGCTGATCAACCGATCGTAGTCGAAAGGCTCATCCTTCAACCATTAGGTCTCAGATTCGAAGTTGTCCAGGGAAACGTGAGGTGCAGAGTGTTAGTGATTCCCGAATTCACTAAACCAGCTATAATGTGCTCCCTGATTATTTGACTTTCAGTTCAGGACGAAACATCGGCTGGCAAAACCTCAGTTACCATCAGAGCTTCAGTATTGTATGAACAATATTTTAATATACTCAGTACATATCATTTTCGGTTATTTTTCCACCACGCATCTCATAGATATACATGATTAAAAATCCATTAGTAAATAAAGGCCTTGATATCTTGCACCTGAGAGCCTGCAAATTTGTTTGAGCAGTACTATTTGACGCATCTCGCAGAAGGAAGCTCTACTGTTTGTTTTAGTACAGAGACATACGTCAGCCCATTCACTCCATAAAATTCTGTGACAGTAGGACAGTGACCGGCTGAAAAAAGCCCATCTGTCGCTTGCAGGTGAGAACAAAAATCGTGCATATTTGACCAGTTTGAGGCTGCACGCTACCGTATGCAGATGCGCGTTTGAGTCACCTCATAGTCGACTAGACTGAGACTACCATCATTTTCGCTTATTGGGTGCAAGACTGTCTAGACAAGATGAGACGTTGTTTTTTGGAAAAGATTCAAACGCTTGTTTATTGGTTTATAGTCTTCCGTCTGACTGTTCTGGCCAGTTCTTGTAAACCAAAGTGAAGTTGTCTGGAATGCCACATTGCATGACTGGTCAGCGAAGTGGCAGCATAAACATATGACGATACAGGTGAAGTAGGATCCTATATCTTCTCAATATGGGCTGACAGTTACCTGTAATTATTATGACGTAGCCCTCCTCCATAAGAAGGAAGTGTTTAAATCTCCTCTTTCTTACAAATCCACCCTAATTGAAGGTCACTTCTGGTAGGAACGTTCATCTATTCTGCGGCAGTTTCTCCTTTGAAAGAGGCGGACCCTCAGGCAAGAACCGATTAACCGTTGACAAGTGTCCGAATTCTGCCAAGGCGAAAAAAGTCACCTATCAGCAGCTTTTGTTAGTGATCTTCGTTTGTTGTATTATATGACTGTTACATGATTACATGATTGTTGCGGGAAGCCGTAATTTCAGGACGAAAGATAGATAATCGTGTCTCCTTCGAGTACAATCCATCAACTGAAGAACGGTGAAGAAGATGACGGTTTATAGGGCAACTTCCCTCATCCACGTAGTACGCCCTTGTCGGAAGACATTACGCCACCTCACCTGACGCACAGTGTTCAGTCTTAGGACATTGAGACAAGTGACGGTAATTAGGCACTTCCTTTTATGGATCTCTAATTATCTAAAGTCATATCAGCGACATGACTCTCACATTTTTAGGACCGCGATAACGCAAGTTTGGGTATGTTTCGTCACTAGTCTGCCGGATCCCGTTGAGTGAGATTAAAGGTTCGGGATAGTGGCCTTACTTGATACAGAAAGATGGGATTGTGTAAGGCCAAAGTCTGGTAATCCGATTGCAGATGCATCAGCTTTGAATCTGAAGTAATATTACCAGCCGAGAATGACTTGCATAAACGGCTGACGCAGTTCTGACCTCAAAACCCGGCTGTAAACCATATATAACTAGTCTGTGGAAAATTTTAACCTGACTCTACCAGCTGTGCGTAGAGGTTAAAGGTGGTAGTTATCACCTGACACCATCGTCTCCCTCCAACTTGGTCCTATCCTCTCTCACTTGCCAAAGTGGTGTAGGTTACTCAATGTTGGCATAGCACACTACTTGCTTTTGCTCAGGAGGGTCATCCTTTGAAAACATATGGCTTAAGCATAAATAAAAGTATAAGGCCACTCTGCTGATTCAGCAGGCTTGTGGTTCATTGTGCACGGTGCTTATGACTGAGGATTGCATTTCGCCATCAATTCGAAACAGCAGTTGGGTATTTGTGTGGCTGAAAGATAAAGTAAATACATTCCAGGCAGCTGTAATAAATTTCTCAACTGCCCTTTATTCAGTGCGAACGAAATCACTCAAAATACAAGTCCTGTAAATTGGTTAGCTGAAAAGCTCATCGAAATTCGGCAGGAATTCCATCAGGCGCACACCTAAAATGAAACGTCAATTATTTTTCAGTTTACTTGCGGTTTCTATCAATTCCACACAATAAGACTTCATCGCGTGGATTTATAGTGTTACTTTTGGTTGTCCGATGTACATCTGACAGGAAATAAGGAATTCAGAACATTAATGGTCAGTACTTTGTGTTGGAATGTGAGAAGTAGGCTATTTATTGGTTCGTGACCGAAATCGATTTTTTATGCATGGATTCCCTAAACGTTATTGAGGTTATTTACTTGACCGATTAATAGTTAACCCAGCCCTATGCTTGCCCCCACGATGACCACGGATTCGGCAAAAGCTTTCCAGGATCATAATGGGAATGTTCTCGTCATCTAGTAATTAGCCTCAGATCATGAGTTGTACCATCTACACTGGGAAAGGGAAAATGGTATCCGGACGCTGTCACATGTGGTGTGCGCCTACATAGACGCCGAATTAGGAAACACAGTCGTTGCAATAAATTTGGTTTGCCGAAAAATTTTGGTCAACAATTCCCTTAGCTTTCTCTCCAAATAAAATACGAAGTAGACCAGGAATATACCATAACGGTTGTTCGGCCATGCGAATTGGGAGGACCGACATTAGCTAGATAACGAGCACCAATAGACAGAGCGCTCAGGACAGTTGACCATTACTTCTCCCCATTTTTCCGTGACCAGATGGACAGAAATGACACTAGAAGCTTGCGACACATTTATGCATACTTCCTGAATCATTGGAAGCATCGGTTCTGTTCGCTGTTTTTATTTTTAGACGTTGACACACCTAAACCAGGGCATATTGGTAACAGTAGTTTCTAGACAGAATGAGCTCTTTGATATCTTGGATGGGATGAAAAGAGGAATCGTGCTTACACGGCACGGTTCAAGGGAATTGTTTAGTACTAACTGTGCATAAGCGCAATCTCTTGGCAATGCATAACTGAGAACAGTGGACATATTACAGTGTTCTCCAGTCTGAACCGGCCTCAATAGCACCTTACAACATTTCATCACCTGAAATGTTTAAATGAGACTCGAGAAATACACTCATTTGCAAATCAGTCCGGTTATCACGAGAGACTCAACTGAATCTCTCGCTTATGATATTCTACAACTGAATGTGCTGCGCCTACCTGATGAGCCCCAAGAAGGGCGAAACCGGTCGTGGGCTGTCAAAGAGTTTTCAGCAATCTTGTGAGTAGTTTCCTTTTAATGAGACTGTTCATTGTAAATCAAAGTTAGTGGTCAATGCTGATTAGGGGATATGTCATGAAAATTTGATGGCTCTGAGTTGACCATGAGTGAAGATGATCGAAAAACGGATGATAGTACTCGAAGAGGAATTTTCCAAATAGGTTACATTTATTCATAGTCTGTTTAAAGAAGACAAGAGTAAGAAAGTGTGAAAGGGACTTGATGCAGCTCTAGTGACACTTTTAGCCACGGAATACTTTGGTGCACTACCAAAAGATAGGATACAAGTCTGCCTTGATGGAGGTGTAACAGATGGATGGTCTCAGAATCCACTGCCTGAACAAGAGCATAGGTCGAGAAGTGAGTTTTCTCAGTTAAAATTCAATGTTGAAGGTTCACTGTCACAAAAGTGAAACTAATTTCTTAATTAAAAGATAAAAAACCTTTCGTTTGTTTACAGTCTTTGCATAGGTATAGGTTTACTAACTTGATTTCATCTACCCAGTCGTTAAGCTGTAGTATGTTAGATTCTCGCAAACTCTAAGAACAGCTGTGTTCTAACCTGGGGGTTGTTTGCGTGCGTCAACTGAAGGTCTGCTATCGGTCATAAAAAGGATTTCGTATCTTAATAGCTGATTTATACACGGTGGCTTGCTTTTGTCTCCGTTACCTGAGATTACCTGAAAGCTGACTGAACAGAGACCTATATCCCAACAATACGAATCTTCTCGACAAAATATACTGCCATCTGGTTCATCAGTAAAAGTAATGCGATCCGAATCATATTGGCTTCTGACAGATTATGTTATATTTAGGACCATTTATGTGCTGTTTTCTACTTCATATTGCTTGGTAATTCATTTCGCCGAAAAAAAAACTATGAAGAGTTTATATATCCACCTTTTGCACCGCCAATGTCAGCCAGCCAACGGCTTACTGTGGAGGGACTCTAGTAATTGCAAAGAGACTAGTTCAAGCAGTGGCTGGGAAAGCAATATTCATGGTTTAGGCACCACATACCTTTTCCGACTCGTTGAGTTTGTCCGATTTCAAGGTCTCTGTGGGGGCTGTAATAACAGGTTATCTGTCAGCTAAACGTGCAAAGTCCTACCGGAGTGAGCTTCTGTGATGTCCGATTCCAAATCCGTCGCAGTTATGGAATCCATGGTGGAGCAGAGGTTTTCAGTATCATCCAATGACGTTTGCTCACACAGATGACTGGTCGGATGCGGTGGGGCTAACAACATCAGGCCAAATGATTCTGCTTCGGCCCGCTCTTCAGGAGTGATGCCTAGATGACAAGAAGCAATGGGAGGTCTAAACAGTTGTGAAAGTCACGAAGAGGCATCTCAAAGACGTCTAGGATTTTAGAACAAACTGTCAAGCGTTTGAGGGGGGGAGGTTGACAGTGGTTATGTCAAGTTTTGGTGTATACGTGTGATTGTTTCAAGAAGTATTCCATACATTGAATGGATCACGAGTTCACACAAAACACGTAATCCTTAACATCCGTAAAGTGACTAGGCACCACAAAAATACCGCGCCGTCATCCTGATTATTTACAGTCTTCTGAATCCTGTCACTTATAATTGATCAAGGGAATTTCGACCCATTCACCGAGCTCGGTAATTAGTTAGCCTTAGCAATCCAAGTTCAACGTCGATTAGGATGGGATCATTTAAGCTTCACGAATCGGATATGATTGCCAAACCTGACTCAGGTCAAGATTCGAAAATCATGGGAGCCAGTCTCAGGCACTCTCGTCTAATTTGTGTGGTAGAAATATGTGGTGGTATCATTTCGTCTTCTTGGTCGCTTGATGGCCCTAAGATGATATGTATGAGTGTAAGTCTTGATAGCACACCTTTTTTGTGTTGCAGGGGTTAGAGTAAAAGATCGATGTGATACCACAGTCCATTAAAATAAAGTATATCTGGGGTTGTCAGGACGCGCCCAGAAATGAAAAAAGCACACATGCACTGAATAACGCATCTCCAAGGTCATCATCGGTACAACACGCTCCGGATAGCAGATGCGAAAATTGAACACAGAACAGTTTTTCGCCCTGAGTGTTGTAGCACTCTTCGTGAAAGTGCAGTTTCGGCAGTTTTAGAAGACAAGCCGAACACACTGATCATAGTTACTTCACCCAGGAAGTGTAGTCTTTTGGCCTTGCTTTCACATGGGTTTTATCTAACAGCTAATATTTCCTCGTCTACAAATTACTCTCCGTAAATGTATGACTGAGTGGGGAACCACAATACTGAGCATAACTCCCAGTATCGTTATCCTAGGTTCTCATACTGCATTTTAGGTTGTCGCAGGAACATGAATACACTTCGTATGTGTGCACAGATAGAGTGAACACGTTAGCTTTCTGCCATCGAAAACTGAAACGCCTTATCATCTGACTCCACCGACACAGGTCGCCTGTATCGGTAACCTGTCATCAGCCACACATCACCTGATCCGGAGCTAACTGATTCCTCCTGCGGTAGATTTTCAGATGCAAGTCTCATTCGATTTGTGCGTATTTTTCCTCCTTGAGCGGAAGATCTATGGTTTGAAGATACGTATATGTCGAATGGCATTAAATAATGTCGAATGAATTGAGTATATGTTGATTACATACAAACAAGGACAATAATGAAAACCCACCGGTGTGATCCAGATGTGTCAGATGCTGCAAGTTTCTTACGATGGATGCAGAGTAGATAGACTTTCCGGACACAGTTAGGTCATCTGGAAGCAAGGATGAATCAATCCAGAATTCTTATTTGAGCCTACCTGCACTCGTGAATGGATTATCTTGAAGCCAGATTTTCTGTAGGGTAAAAAGCCATTTTAAGTGTGCCACCTCGTGAATATCCGTAATCTGATTGCCACGGAGATAGAGCTCTTGTAAATTGTAACAGTGACTGAAAGGCTCAAGACAACAAATTTTGTTGGCGCTAAATTGGACACATAAGTATCAGCAGAGTACCACTACACCACAAACCTTATGTTCACTATCCGCAAATTCTGCATGTTGCGTAATATGGTGACGTCAGAAATTTGCAAGCCCCTAGATCGATATGGATTTCGCTGGAAGTTGAAACTTTATGACAAACCACAGGTTAATTTTTGAAATGTTTTCCAAGTTTTCTCCCCTGGCGCGTACAATAATCATTTTATGCGTCAATTTTCCTTCAACAGCTGGCGTAACTGTCACCGGTTCACTGAATTCTACCATGGTAATTATTCTAAAGCTGGAAAAAATCAAAACACAACAGAGTTTATTTTGGTTACATAGAAACAACTATTAAACAGATGTCATTTCTATCTAGCCATATGAGTGGATGTTTAGAATTTGGGGTTCCATTGAAAGTCAAGGAAACTTTGGTGCAGTAGAGATTTAAACATTCTGTCACATAAGGCACTCATTGTGGAGGGGGTGCCATGAGGAATTTTGTACCTAAGAGTATTATGCGTATCCCTGTAGCCCTATTGGTAGCAGAATTATTGAGGAGAAGGACTTTTGAAAGATGAATTTTCTTGGTAGTTAAGCAAAAGCTAAATGCAACTCCTTGTGGGTAAAAGCCTTTGAGCGCAGGACAAATTCAGGTACCAAACTTTTGAAGAATCCGTTGACCTGAGAGATTAGTGCTCAGGTTGACAGTACAATAAAAAAATATTCAAATCATTTGCTGAAGAACAGCGTTCTCTAAGCTGTGATACACACACCTTTTGTGGGTAAAAGACAGATCATCTGATAGAGTGGCATGAGGCCAAATTACTCAAAATTCTAGACTTACCGTAAAAAAATTAGTAATAGCCAACTTTCTGGATGGAAATATTTGCGCTGCTTGGAACTTATCATTAGAGCGTAATCACTTTTATCAAAGAAACATCGGTTCACTGACGAATAACTCATTAGCTCAGCCCTAAAGGAAGCAATATGTTGACAACAAAGCCAAAAATATGACAGCGTGAGTTTCGACTAAAGTTTCATTTCGGGTATTAAATCGTGCCAGACAGCGTAATAATAAAATTTTAGTGGATATTAGATTCGGTTGTTGTTTGATTCAGTTGGGCTTACAAATTGTATGAGTATCAAGATTTTTTAGCATTCTATTAATTATTGGGAGAGGAAAAATTGTTTCTGAATATTGTAACAAATAACAAACCCTTCCCAAGAGACTTCAGTTGTTCAGATTTCAATGTCCAAACAACAGTCGTACTGAACACTTGTCCAGGACCCGCAACAGCAGTCGTAAGGTAAACTTAAGAAAGTACAGCAGTATCAGCCGGAGTATTCAGGCCGAAGTTGGGTTTTTGTGCTACACTGTCCTTTATAGCTATGGTTATGGTTATAGCTATAGTTACTACATGAATATACATTTTAGCTTTGTTGCAGAAAATAGCCGAAGCACGCAGTTTTTCTACCGCACAGGGATGCAAGACGTTCACATGGGTGTTTTATCAAGATTGGTAAAATCACACGACCAAGCCTACCAGCATGCCATCAAGGGATTAACGCCAAAGTTTACTAAACTTTGTTAGATTTTTCCAAATTATGTTTTTGAAGTGGATTTATTTTTAGGGCTTTTAGAGAATCCTCTTTTTATAGACAATCAGCGTGATATCAGGAACAACAGAGGGTAAATGAATAAAACCAGAAATTTTGGTGCCTCAGAAACAGTGACAGAATGAATCCTAGTTAAACGACTTCATTAAAAAAATTCTCAGTGCTTATGCACAATGCGGGTGAGGTTCTGTTGCTGCCAGGCTTCCAAGTCCCTGAATCGAAAGTTTTATATAGTTCAGTGTGAACGTCTCAGCTGCGGATACCAGTGTGGAGACAAATTAAACAACTTTATTAGTCGAACAAGACTTCCGACAGACTTCAACCAGTATCCTACTTTTTAGCTACAGATAGTTCATGTTCAGGTTTAAAGAATTTTTTCCTACTCGTCATGTTTATGTCTACACTAGTATTTTACTGCCAACTAAAGTAAGTGTCGAGGCAAATTGTTACAACACTACTTGTAGGAAAAAACCTCCTATTCGTACAGAAGGTACGTACATAGTTGGCCACAACTTACGCAAATGGTGAAGAAATCACGTAGAAATGACGTTCGTTTAAAGCGTATAACACATACTCAGGAAGATATTTAACTGCTCTCCTCACACTATTTGGGATTGTGACAGAAATCAAAGCTAAAAATTGCTAAAAATATATAGTTTGACAACCACCGTCCTTGCTATTTCTTTATCCTACAACGTACTACAGAAAATGAATTTTAGCTTTCAATTTTGTCACCTCTGGGACTCTATATGTGCCTTTTAATAGAAAATACCCACTTGAAGCAGCTGTTTAAATTGCATTTTTTGAAAATAAGCCTTAATTGAAACGTCTCCTGAATCAAGTGAACTTAGGTTAAGGACAACGTGATATAATCGAAGGCCGGCAAAGAGTTCATTAGCAAATTTCAGGTTCTCCCACTGTGGCAAATAAACGAAGAATCACTTCCAAATCTACATAAAGGATGGACAATTAGTATAAAACCGGGACAAATTACGCAACCTCCCCAACATTTCCCTAGATTGGCTCTGATATACTAATAAAACTGTTTGGGATGAATACGTTTGTCTTACTTAAAGTAGACCGAATGTCGAAGCCATCAGAAACCCTTTAGAAGACGTCCTATATCTTAGGTATGTACTGGAATATGTACCTTGGTATCTTTCATTTAGCGCGACACTAATACCTCTTGCAAAGTGGAACTCAAGATTACAGCGGATGTCCGACTGTATCACGCCAAATTTTTCTGCAGTTGAACTACGCATTAGTTTGCCATTCAAAGTGAATGGAATGAATCTTTTTCATTACGTCTTGTTTAGAGATAGTTCAACTGATTGCACCTACTTTCTATCTGTTTTCCAGTACAAGGGACTTCGTCAGCGTGCCAAATTACAACCAATTACAACTAATTACTACCACCAATGATATCTTAGGTTAGCGCCAAATTCGTACAATCTCCTGGTTTTAAGGAGCCTGACGAGCGGGTGATTTTCTCTATATCGGCAATACCGTCAAAATTAGCTCTTTATGAGCCTGGTTTGTTTCATCTTACAGCTGGAGAGTTTAACAGTATCTGTTCTTGATATGGGGAAAACAACGCTTCTAAATGAGCCATTAGTCCAACCGACTGCCATTATTACTTCTGATATTGTTTAACGCAAAGCTGTTTCCTTTTCGGTCTTCCGGTAGAAAAAGGAAAGAGATATAATTGGATGCTAAGAAAAACACGTTCAACTGGAATATATTCAATATAATAAACCAAGAAGAATAAAGAAAGGGGAAAAACTTATGGGAAAGTAATGTCTTACTGACAAAACAGTACATAGCCTCGACGAGATTGGTCCTGTCCAGCAGTCACTTGAATAAAGGAACTACATGGAATTCAAAACCCAGACCATAAAATAGGTCGAGGAAAAAGCAACAAAATTAGAGAAAACTTGTTGCTGCAAAGAAAAAAGTCTTTGGTCTATAATGTCTGCAATTTACATGGATCAGCAACTCCAGTAATCAAACAAACATTAAAAGTGGATCTCTGCATAGAAAACTGGAGCAAATCAGCTAGATGAACTATATAAAACAGTAATTTTGAAATGCATCAGCTGAAGTAGAGACAGATAACAATCACCATATTAAAATGGTGAAGAAACTCTCGCAGATCGGTTGCCACTCTGGAGAGACATATTATCGGTCACACTATCAACCAGCAATACAAATACTTGATTTTGTACTCACACACAATAAGAGAACATTAACATTACCAGATGCATTATACGCATGTGTTCGGAGATACTTTGTTGACCTAAAATTTTATGGGCTCTTGTGTACTCCAGATCACGGTGGTGGAAAATTTTGTCTGAAAAATATCTGTCAGAAGCTTGTTCTGTAGCAAGCGTTATCGAAATGTTGCTGGAAATTCACGAAAAAGACGGTAAAACCCTTGTTATCAGATACGATAAATTTTCAGAACCCAAAGAAAAACCTATTTTGATCAATTATAATCTATTCACATCAAAATCACAACTTACTTTAAAGGATTACGAAAAGGGGAGTATAAGTTAAACTGTCAAGATGTCAAACAAACTGCACCAAACATCATCACGTGAAGCTGCTTGTGGTGTGTCTTTTCTATCAAGTGCACTTAAACACTTTTGAAATTCTCAATTTTCCTGCACATAAGTTTTACCATACCTTGGCTTTTATAAGTCAATGAGCAACAACGGTATAATAAACTTTCCAAATAATTCGGAATTATCCTATATGAAAGGAATTTTAATACTCTACATGCTTCCCTTTGTAAACAGTTTCATTACGCATAAAAACACGTTTGTCAAGGTCCGAAAAATGCCGCGCTTAAAATTTTATATTTGGTTTCTACTTTTCGTAAATATAATGTGCATGAATCGGCAATTATTTCCATTTTCTTTCATTAGAAAGAACATTCAACATCTGGCCACACATGTCTATTATTTGTTATTTCCTTACTGTTCAAGACGATACTGTAAAACGCTCTTTAGTATAATAACACTCAAGCGTAGATTGCCCAAGTAACCACTTCAAAACACTGAAAGATAGCTAAGCTTTATAGACGGCATGTGTTGACTCCAGATGCGGAAAGATATAGGTGACGTGGGTCTTGTATATAGCATAAAGAAGAAATATCTTTTCGAAACTCCATCATAGCTGGTTTCGTCACCGACATCTTTAAAAATCAAATAATTAGCACAAATTTAGTTATTTCTGTGATCAGACGCCGGGAAGTTTGTAATAATACAAATCTAAAATGTGGTCAAGGTAAAAGATTTTTTTCATTTCGTTGCATTGAATCTTCGCTTTCCGTTTATGTTTTAATGTAACAACCCATCAACAATGCCACTTTTCAAAACGCTG